AGGAGCAAGGATGTCTCCTTGAGGACTAAGGTGTGCCTGACACAAGCCATGATAATTTCAATCACCTCATATGCATGTGAGAGCTGGACAGTGAATAAGGAAGACCGAAGAAGAGTTGATGCTTTTGAGTTGTGGTGCTGGCGATGAATGCTGAAAGTACCATGGACTGTTAAAAGAGCTAACAGATCTGTCCTGGAGGAAGTGCAGCCAAAACGCTCCTTGGAAGCGAGAACAGCCAGACTTTGTCTCACCTACTTTGGTCATGTTATCAGAAGGGGCCATTCCCTGGAGAAGGATGTCATGCTTGGTAAGGTGGAGGGTCGATGAAAGGGGTAGGCCCTCAATGAGATGGACTGACACAATGGCTGCGGAGATGGACTCAAGTATATCAGGGATCACGGAGCTGGCGTGGAACTGGGTGGTGTTTCGTTCTACTGTGCATAGGGTCGCTATGAGTCGAAGACGACTCAACGGCACCTAATGACAACAACATCTCCTCAGCGATGTGGTTTACAATGAGTCTTAAACAGGAGTTTTGAAGTTGGATGCTCCCTTAAAATGCACTATAGCCATACAATAGAATATTTGGCAAAAAAAAGGAATGAAACACTGGTATATGCTACAACATGGATGAAACTTAAAGATAATATGCTCATTGAATGGAAAACCAATTTGCTCTATAAATTTTCACCCACGTCAAAAACACAAACAAAAGAACATTTAAATTACATATATATTCTAAATGTGGAGCTCTGGTGGTGCAGTGTCTAAGGCATTTGACTGCTAACTAGAAGGCTGGCAGTTCCTACTCAACAGCCACTCCTCAGAAGGAAGATTGGGCAATCTACTTTCCATAGAGTTACTGCCTCGGAAAACCCAAGGAGGGGTCGCTATGAGTTGGAATCGACTTGACAGCAGTGAGGTTTTCTTTTTCTTTTTTATTTTAAATGGAAGAAGCCAGGGCACACGTTTTATGATTCCATTTGAATTAAATGTCCAAAAGAGGCAAATCTACAGAGGCAGAAAGTAGGTTACACTTTAGGGGTGTGGAGAGATGTGGGGTTGGGAAGGCGGTTATCTAAAGGTTTTCTTCTTGAGGTGATGATACTATTCTAAAATTGATACTGAATATCTCTGAATATAATAATAACTGTTTAATGGTATACTTTAAATAAGTGAATCACATGATATATGAACTGCATCTCAATAAAGCTGTTTAAAGAACAAAACAAAAAACCCACAGAGAATGCTGGCCCCCATTCCCAGAATTCCTGATTCAGTAGGTTTGTGCTGAGGCCACAGAATTTCCATTTCTACATGTTCCCATGTGAGGCTGATGCTCCTTATAGAAATGATAGTTTCTTACAGAACTTCAAAATGTTTACTTTTACTATCCTTCAAAGGATTTATATCTGGTTTTTACATTTAGGACCTGTTAATCTCACCTCAATTCTCAAACAGGAGTTTCTAGGAGACTTCTTTGGTATATCTTAAAACATCTGTTGGGTTTTTCACTTTTCACTTCATAAATACTGCTTACTAAAGATTTCCTATAAAATACTAGATAAGTATTATAGTTATGTACTCCAAATCCAAGAAAAAGACCATCTTTACAAAGTCAAATCAATCTTAGAGCTGGTCATTCCAAGCAACAAAACCTCTACTTTATATGCTTACAAAAAGAAACAACTCCAGTAAGAAAGCTAATTTAAGACTCATGGTAAACAGACTATATTGATGAGTTTAAAAGTTCTCCAAGGGACTCTCATACACTGCTGGTGGGACTGTAAAATGGTACAACCATTGTGGAAAGCAGTATGGCGATTCCTTCAAAAGTTGGAGATACAAATAC